CAGATAGTGCCGTACCGGCGCTGACAAATATAAATTCCAAATTCCAAATTCCTTCTCCTGTCTGACATCCTCTTCTGTTTCTTTGCGATATTGGATATCCTGTAAATGCCACTTCACGGTCATCTACGTTTTTAGACGGTCAATTTCCTGTTGGTTTGAACTTTTTCAAATCAGAGGAATTTAATTTCTTAGAAGATGCGGTCTGCTGAACTATCTGACGGAATTTCGTTATAAAGATTTGGATCAGAATCAGAGGTAACTTCCTCCTTAGTAATGGAAATTCTGTATGAGTATCAGTATATTTGAGGGAAATGACCGATATCCGCCTGATTGTTTCTTGCCATCATCGCTACGATATTATCCAACATACGGACGCCTGAGTAGTTTATGTCCTTTTTTTAAAAGTATTCAGACACTTGTCCCATGCATTTAACCATGCTTTTGCTTCGTGACGGGGCATGATAGGTCTTAAAATCTCCAATATTTGACAACTAAAGCGTGTTTGGCATGTTGATCCTTGTTGTATGGGATACATAATGGCATTGAGATGTAGGCAACTTCCAGCGACTAATTCCTCAATATATCAATTCACACGACCTACAGATTTGTTGCTTGGCCTATCAAGGCTGAATAATATTCCGGTCTTATAAGATTTACGTTTAGGAGAAATAGTGCACACAAGTACCGAAATGAGGGACTGCATAAAATTCTGCGTATTTTGTTGCTTTATCTTCGCTTAAGTTTCTTTCGAAAAAATTGCTTGATTGATTAAGAGTGAGACTGTCTTTGTACTTTGTTGTTCTATATACTGAGGCAAACATCAGTTCAGTCGACTTTACTGATGGAAATAAGGAAGAGCTTTTGAATAATTCTGTACTAAATCCTTGGAAATAAACGCATGCTACTTACAATTAAAGGTGTTTTTGACCCAAACTAAGACATTTTTCATTCAGAAACGAATAAAAGGCCAAATTTAACATGTCATTACGATAGCAACCGCGGCATGGCTTTAACTCCTGAGTACTTTCAGTGGGCTAATATTATGCTGTATTTTTTAAATTAGTTGATCAGTTGATTGTGGTTTGCGGCTAGTTTTTCATGGCTGATCCAGCCAAATTAGAATCCGACGCTTTACATTTTGCAGAGGAGG